ACTAGCTCTGAGCTCCGGCTGAGTCACTTCATTTATCCCATGCTCCGTTCCCTGTTTGTAAATGCTCGAGACGCAGATGCACCAGCCGCTGTGGAATGTCACGGCGCTGCCAGCGGAGGCATGTAGCTGCTCGGGTAGGGATATGGCTGGGACATGGCGAAAGATTTTAATGAGTTATAAAGGGACCTGAGATGGCGTTGAGTGAAAAGACACCTCCGTCCCTCCGAGTCACCCCGATCCAGCGGCTCTGTGTAAACTTGCCTCCAGCCAACGCTTCCCGACATCAGGGCAGGGTGATGAAGAGCCCAAAAGGCGCCTGGATGTGTCCGAATGCCGTAGTTAAAACAAACAGCCACCAAAAAACCCTTGCACTTTGTTCCTGTGATTGCACCAGCAATTAGGGGAAAATTCTCCTGGGCTGGACCCAGATGTGACATAATTTCTGCCTTTCGCTGGAGAAGTGAAAACATTTTACCTGGCCTGAAATGAGTTTCGCTTAATTTTGTCATGATTTCCCCCCCTCATTTTAGACGTCTCCTCTAAAGCAGGGTGAAAACACTTAAAGGTCAAGTGTTTTAGGGCAAGCATGGAAATTAAATGCATTGCTTTGCTTTTTTTCCCAGAAATTCTTCCTTTCTGTGGTTGAAGGCTTTTCCCAAATCCAGTGCACGTTCACTGATAGCGTTGCTGCTGAAATCATAGAACCATGGCGGGGACTCAACCCCTTCCCTGGGCAGCCCCTTCCAGCGCCTGACAGCCCCAAGGGGAAGGAATTGTTCCCCATGGCCAACCCAAACCTGCCCTGGCACAACTTGAGGCCGTTTCCCCTCATCCCATCGCCTGCTACCAGGGGGGTATTCAAGGCTTGAACAGCTTTTTCCGTATTCTTGCCCATTTATTTTCATAGAATCATGGAATGGTTTGGGTTGGAAGGGACCTTTAAAGGTCATTTTCCTTCATTAGGCCTTTGGGTACCGTGGTGGTGTTTGAGATCCTTGCAGGCTGAGGCTGCCTGTTGCATTTGAACCGGGTGATGGTGTTGATATCCAAAACCCCGTTTGATTTCCTAAACTTGGCTGGAGATGCAGCCGTGACTCAACGAGTGCCTTATCTAAACACAGGTGCTGGGGACTTGAGTGTTGTGCTGACTTAAGGTATCTCCTCCCAGCGCGGCTGGGAACGTGAAAGCTTTCTGATCATGTCATCCTGCCCACGGGAAAGAAAAAAAAAAAACCCACAACCCCGAAAAACGTAACTGTGTGTTTGGTAATGCAGAGGGAGGTGAGGGAAGGCGTTGTGAGATGCGTCTGCGTGTGCACCGGTACCCGATCATATCGGTAGTAGCTATAAACCCACGGCACCCTCCTGAACCTCGCAGTGCTGGTCTGGCTGGCGATTTGCCTCTCCTCTAGGCGGGAAGGGCTGTTGAGAGGTGGCTCTTGCCCTGAGAGGGGATCAGATGTTTGCCGAGACTTTGGGGTCAGGGTTGTAGTGATGTGTGAGGATGGGCTTCAAAACCTCCCAGGATGGGCAGGCGGTTGTCCCCACTGTGGTATTTAGGAGACAAAGTCTTGCTGAAGGCCAACAAGCCACAGGGGACCTCCTCAGCCCCCATATTTAATGTCTATAAACCACGCTCTACAACCACCAACTCCTCCGTCCTCCCCATCCCTGCAGTCTCACAGTGCCTTGTTGTCATTATATATTTTTTTTGGCTGTATCTACCCACCGATCCGCCCCCCTGCGTGCTCACAAATCCACACTGGTGCCAGGGAGGGAGCTGGAATGAGCAGGCTGTGCAGGGAGAGTTGTGTTTTTCGCTGGAAATGCCAGTTGAGCTGCACATTGCACCACGGTCCGGGTCCCTAGGCACTTTTGAAAATAGGTGTCTGGGCGATATTTTTAAAGGTATTTAAACATCTGAAGATAGTTGCTAGTGTGGATTTTCAAGAAGCACTTAATTGCCTGTGTCCTGTGAGAACTTCTGAGAACCTTGCTAGACAGCTACCAGCACAGTTCGATGCCTTAATAGTCGTAAAGATTTTTGGGTTTCATTTTTGGACTTTGGATTTCATCGAATCATAGAATCACAAGGCTTGAACAGCTTTTTCCGTATTCTTGCCCATTTATTTTCATAGAATCATGGAATGGTTTGGGTTGGAAGGGACCTTTAAAGGTCATTTTCCTTCATTAGGCCTTTGGGTACCGTGGTGGTGTTTGAGATCCTTGCAGGCTGAGGCTGCCTGTTGCATTTGAACCGGGTGATGGTGTTGATATCCAAAACCCCGTTTGATTTCCTAAACTTGGCTGGAGATGCAGCCGTGACTCAACGAGTGCCTTATCTAAACACAGGTGCTGGGGACTTGAGTGTTGTGCTGACTTAAGGTATCTCCTCCCAGCACGGCTGGGAACGTGAAAGCTTTCTGATCATGTCATCCTGCCCACGGGAAAGAAAAAAAAAACCCCCACAACCCCGAAAAACGTAACTGTGTGTTTGGTAATGCAGAGGGAGGTGAGGGAAGGCGTTGTGAGATGCGTCTGCGTGTGCACCGGTACCCGATCATATCGGTAGTAGCTATAAACCCACGGCACCCTCCTGAACCTCGCAGTGCTGGTCTGGCTGGCGATTTGCCTCTCCTCTAGGCGGGAAGGGCTGTTGAGAGGTGGCTCTTGCCCTGAGAGGGGATCAGATGTTTGCCGAGACTTTGGGGTCAGGGTTGTAGTGATGTGTGAGGATGGGCTTCAAAACCTCCCAGGATGGGCAGGCGGTTGTCCCCACTGTGGTATTTAGGAGACAAAGTCTTGCTGAAGGCCAACAAGCCACAGGGGACCTCCTCAGCCCCCATATTTAATGTCTATAAACCACGCTCTACAACCACCAACTCCTCCGTCCTCCCCATCCCTGCAGTCTCACAGTGCCTTGTTGTCATTATATATTTTTTTTGGCTGTATCTACCCACCGATCCGCCCCCCTGCGTGCTCACAAATCCACACTGGTGCCAGGGAGGGAGCTGGAATGAGCAGGCTGTGCAGGGAGAGTTGTGTTTTTCGCTGGAAATGCCAGTTGAGCTGCACATTGCACCACGGTCCGGGTCCCTAGGCACTTTTGAAAATAGGTGTCTGGGCGATATTTTTAAAGGTATTTAAACATCTGAAGATAGTTGCTAGTGTGGATTTTCAAGAAGCACTTAATTGCCTGTGTCCTGTGACAACTTCTGAGAACCTTGCTAGACAGCTGCCAGCACAGTTCGATGCCTTAATAGTCGTAAAGATTTTTGGGTTTCATTTTTGGACTTTGGATTTCATCGAATCATAGAATCACAGAAGGGTTTGGGTGGGAAGGGACCTTCAAAGCTCCTCCAGCCCAACCCCCCCGGCAGGAGCAGGGCCATCCCCAATCAGACCCATCCTCACAGCCCCGTCCAACCTGGCCTTGGATGTTCCCAGGGATGGGGCCTCCACCCCCTCTCTGGGCAACCTGTGCTGATGTTTCCCCATCTTCACCTTCTTAGGTAGCTTTAAAAATGCTCCTCTCTGATTCTTCTGCTGTTGGGGAGAGTTGAAAACTAATAATAAAAAAAAGAGTTTCCTGGGAAAATTGTTAAGAACGAGGCAGGAATTGTTATTTGATAAGCAGGCTTCTGCACGACAAAAGGATGAGTGCACGATGGGGCATGGTCTTCCTGGCGCACATTTGACTCGTAAGCTAATCCTTCCTCAGTGTGGCATCAAAACTGGAGTTTTCTGGTGAGCTTCCGCCTTCCCAAAGTCTAGTGACTGCTTTCAAATCAGCTTGGCCAGGACACCGGCCCGTGTGCTCGATGGAGGGCTCAGCACAGCCTACGAGTGTGTCTCTGCCCAAAATAGATTTGCATGTAAATACTGAAGTAAGCCAGGCAGCCCCAAACCACGCGTTTCCTCCAGCGACAGTCGTTGTGCCCTCTGCTCTCCTCCTTTTGGTGCATCTCTACACATGAACTGAGCTCTCCAGCATCCTCTGCCTGGCTAATTGCATTTAAATAGTTACAGGATTTACTATGTGGGCAGCATAACTTTGCATGCCTCCTTCTCTCCGTCTATCCTCAGAGCCGTCTGTCTATCTGTCCACGCTTCCCACCGTAGCAGCTGGGCTCCTGGTGTCTTCTCCGGCGCCTCTCATGCTCTTGAAGCCTTCAGAAAATCCTGAAGGGATTTCCTATCTGTGATATCCATTTCTCCACCGGTGCTGAGACGATCTTGGCATGAAGACTCCAGAACTTACTTTCCGTAAGAGTTTGGTCCAACAATAAATGAATTTCCAGTGCCAACCATTGCTCCGGTATCTCGTTTCTAGTAAGGGTTTATTTATCAAAAAGGCGCAGAGCCTCATCAAAATGCAATTTGCTGAGCCCTGGCTCCAGATTGAGAAACTACTTCTCGAAGCCAAAGGCAATTTTCCATGTAAAAAGAAGACCAAGGGTGTAACCTAGGTGTGTTTTGGGAATTGTGAAAGCCCTGCTACAACTTGGCAGGAGCAGCAGCGCTTGCCTGCCATGGGGCTTTGGAGTGAAAGATCAAAATAAAGATAAACATAAGCAGGGAAACAACCACAATGGATGAAAGGTGGAAAAAAAAAAGGAGTAGCGTATCCTGGGGAGAGTGTTACTGTACCGCAAAAGCGTAAGGCTCCTTAGTCACCGAGTGCTACCCTTGGGTAGACATGGTTGGATCTTTTTTAATTTTCTCCTGCTTTATAGGGTGTGTTTCTGGGTAGGGTCCATGTTTGGCAAATTGAAGATGAAAATCTGTAAACCACGCCACACTGATGAAGACAGTAACTGTCTCCTCCTTCACGCCCATGCAAACCCAGCCCACCTCCAGAAACAGATAAAAGAGAGCATCTACTGCCCTCCAGTCAGAGGGACTTCACTTCCCTTCTCTGCGCACTCATCTCCTCGCAGCACAGCTCCATTGACCTTTCTTATCTTCTCAATTTTTGACTCTGCTTGGAAGGAACAGCCATGTCTCGGCAGTCTGTCTGCAGAAGCTTTGGAGGCGGGAGTAGAAGGGGCTACAGCTCTTGCTCTGCCATCGGTGGTGGCTTTGGAGGAGGTGGTGGCAGAAGCAGGAGCAGCTACAGCTCGTTCTCTGTGTCCAGGGGATTTGGAGGTGGCGGACGTTGTGGAGGGTTTACCAGCAAGAGTCTCCATAACATGGGTGGCAGTGGAAGGATTTCCATGGGTGGATGCTATGGTGGTGGAGGGTACGGAGGCAGAATGGGTGGCTTTGGTGGAAGCTATGGAGGAGGAATGGGTGGCTTTGGTGGAGGAATGGGTAGCTTTGGAGGAATGGGTGGTGGTGGAGGAATGGGTGGCTTTGGTGGAGGAATGGTTGGTTATGGTGGAGGAATGGGTAGTTATGGTGGAGGAATGGGTGGTGGCGGAATGGGCGGTGGAGGAATGGGCGGTGGAGGAATGGGTGGCTTTGGTGGACCAGGCTTTGGCATGCCAGGCTTTGGTGGCCCCGGTAGAGGTGGCCCTGGAATCCAGCCAGTGCAAGTTGACTCAAGCCTCCTACAGCCGGTCCATGTTGAGATCGATCCCCAGATCCAGCAAGTCAAAAACCAGGAGAAGGAACAGATCAAGACTCTTAACAATCAGTTTGCCTCTTTTATTGATAAGGTGAGAGGGTGGGACTGTGTCTCATTGAGGGTCAAAACTGGGAGGAACTTCCAAGTCCTGCAGAAATATTGTCCTGCCTGAGCTAAATATCAGCAGGCGGAGAAGCTTGAGCAGAATCTTTTTATTAAGTTCTGCTAGGGAAGAGATGAAAATCTCTCTTCCACACGAGATCAAAGCCATGTCTTCAGGGCTTTAATCTAGCCTGTTGCACCAGGCTCAGCTAAGAGGTGATTCTCGCAAGCAGGCTCAATGCCTCCAAACATCTTCAGGTTTCAGGCACAAATTCTCCTGTCTGTACCATTCTCTTTCCAACCTCCCTCCCCTTTAAGTATTCACTAATATAATTTTCTTTTTCTCTTCATTTTCAAACATCCAGGCGTTTAAATCGAGTCTAGAAATCAAAGATTTCTACACTACCCCCAATGGGAACGTACTTGGAGCTGGTGCGACATTTAAAAGCCTCTTTGGCTTGAATATGACTCAGGAATTTCCTCCTTTTCCCAATCTTGCAGTTTAGGCAAGAAAATAAATAAACAAATAAATAAACGTTAACCCGTTCTTTCATCATCGTGCAAAAGTAGAATCTTTTCCGTGATGAAGGGGTGCCTCGGTGACTGCTGCTGCTCCACATCTGATGGTGGGCACTTCATGTGTTGGCTTTCAGGTCCGCTTCTTGGAGCAACAGAACAAGGTCCTCTCCACCAAGTGGGAGCTCCTCCAACAGCAAGGGCCTTCAGGGCCAAGGAAGAACCTTGATGTCATCTTTGAAAATTACATCCAGAACCTGAGGAGGCAGCTGGACTCAATCTTGGGACAGAGGGGGCAGCTGGAGTCAGAGCTGCAGAACATGCAGCAGTACGTCGAGGATTACAAAACCAAGTAAGTGCCGCGGCAGTCTGACCCAGAAAGCAACTCGAGCAACTCGGTAGTTGCTTTTCTTCACACAGGTGCTTTTTATGGCAACTGTGGACAATTTTCCCTCTAAATACTTTATTCTGGTGGTTTTTTTTCTTTTTAGTTTGTTTAGTGTGGCCTTAGGCAGGAAAATGCAGGAAACTCAGCTCGTCTTTTTGCTCTCTGTAGGTATGAGGAAGAGATCAACAGGCGCACAACTGCTGAGAACGAGTTTGTGGTGCTTAAGAAGGTGAGTCACATGCACCACAGAGCGATCGCTTGAATCTCAGGCTTTATCTGTGCGTTGAGGAGACTCCCTCCTGAATGGGGATTTGGAGAGACTCTAGGACCTGTGGGCTGATATTTGAAGTCCTTTGGTTTTAATTTGCATAATTAAATAATGCTATCACAGTGTTACAGACTGTAATTTCCATGGTCCTGAAGGATTTCCAAGAGGAAATTATTCTCTGTGATCTTTGCTGTAGGACGTGGACTGTGCCTACATGACTAAAGTAGAGCTGGAAGCCAAGGTGGGAGCTCTGACTGACGAAATCAACTTCCTGAGGTGCATCTATGAGGAGGTAAGAGCTCTCCCTTCCCTGGGCTGGTTGGAGACGCAATGAGGAGTGTGGTGGCCGAAGACACTGGGGTTGGACTGGGTGCCCACATGGCTTTGGTCTGGAGAGGCTACTTGGAGTTGCTGCTCTTCCCTCCCCTCCTCAGATGGTTGGGCTAACTCGTGTCTTGGTTGTAGGAGCTGGCTCAGATGCAGACAATCAGCCGGGACCTGTCTGTGGTGGTGTCCATGGACAACAACCGGCACCTGGATCTGGACAGCATCATCGAGGAGGTCAGGCGTCAGTATGAGCAGATTGCTCAGAGCAGCAGAGCTGAAGCTGAGGCTTGGTACCAGAGCCAGGTGAGCTGCAGAGCATTTCAGGAACCCTGGGTGGTGGCTAGAACTTGCAGATAATTTATGACAGTGAGACATCTCTTTAAGCTAATGGTGCTGGAGCTCATGCAAGGAAATCTCAAGAGGAATTGCGTTGCTTTTGAGGGGTCTGACTCACTGTGCTCCAGGTGTCCAGAGTCTCACTTTGGTGCATGGTACAAGCCTCTCAATAAAGATGGCCAAAAATGCTCTGTAACTAGAAAATGCCCACCCAAAGCAGCTTTTAAGAGACCAAGGGATGCTTATCAGTGTGACTAAGATCTATTTCAAAGTTCAAACTCAATAATACTTGAGTCTCAGAACCATCTGTTACTGGGCACCCATGGCCAACGTGAGAGGTGCCTGTAGCAGCATGTGAGCGATGACACTATTGACAAATCTTGTCTAGGCATAGGAATGTTTCACTGAAGGTTTGCTTTTTCTCCGTGCCATCAGTACGAACAGCTGCAGAGCACTGCTGGAAGGCACGGCGACAGCCTCCGCAACACCAAGATAGAGATCCAGGAGTTGACCAGGAACATCCAGAGGCTGCGGGCTGAGATTGAGAACGTGAAGAAGCAGGTAGGGGTTGGTTAGTGTCTCTAACGGGATGCTGGCATCAGACTGGGTCACAAAGGGCCATGTGTGGGGCAGAAATGGTTTCTTCAACCACCCCTTGTTTACTTCATGTAGATGTTTTCCTTTTTTTTCCCTTGCCTTCTCCACTTGGGGTTTGAGGGCTGGTCCTAAGCAACCAAATGAGTCTGAGAAAGCGCCCTTTTTAATTCTGCAGAACCAGCAGCTGCAGGCAGCTATTGCTGAGGCTGAGGAGCGGGGTGAGATGGCCCTCAAGGATGCCAGGTTAAAACTGGAAGAGCTGGAAAGTGCTCTGCAGAAAGACAAGGAGGAGCTGGCTCGCTTGCTGAAGGAGTACCAGGAGCTGCTGAACATCAAGATTGCCCTGGATGTTGAGATTGCCATGTACAGGAAGCTGCTGGAGGGAGAGGAGAACAGGTAAACACTTGAACTCTGATTTGAGAGGGCTGTTGAGATCCGTGCTGGTCACCTTGAGTTTTGACATTAATAGTTGAATCTCAAACCAGCTCCTTCGGTTGGAATGGGTAGGAATGGCTGTTCGCAATCTGGGTGACATTTTGGGGGGGTCAGGACTGGTAACTGGCAGACTCTGTTTGCTACGGGTGCTATAACCACCACTTCATTTGTCTTATGGGCAAATTTTTTAATGAACCTGAAGTCTGGAAGAACCTCATCATAAAGAGGAATTGTCAATGCCTTCCTTCCTTAAATACTTTAGCGATACCAAAGCTGCCGATAAGGCTGAAACAGGAAAACAGTTTGATAATGAAAATGCAGTTCTCAGTTATTAAGATGTGTCTTTTGTTGGGTAATTAAAATTTACCAATTTCCCTCACAGGCTGTGCAATGACGGCATGTCCAACGTCAACGTCTGTAAGTATCGGCATTTGTTTCCTCGTGCGTTCTAGGAGATGCAGGTTGCGAGTGGATAACGCATGCGTAACCCGTGCTTCTCTTCCAGCTGTGGTAGGCAGGACCACCATCAGTGGAGGCAGAGGAGGCATGGGCGGAGGCTTTGGAGGCGGCAGCGGCATGGGCGGAGGCTTCGGAGGAGGCAGCGGCATGGGCGGAGGAATGGGAGGAGGCGTGTGTGGAGTAGGAGGCGGCTTTGGAGGTGGAAGCATGGGCGGCAGCTGCGGAATGGGAGGAGGAATGTACGGCGGTGGCTTCTCTTCTGGAAGCGGAAGGATCTGCGGCTCTGGAGGTGGCAACTTCAGCTCCGGTGGGGGATCGTCCTCCGTACGGAGATGTGTCACGACCACCTCCGTCAAATCGTCAGGAGTGAGATTCTGAGCCCCAAAGCCAGGTTGAAAAAGGAAAGAAGCATCCCCCACCTTCTCCCGGCAGCAGCCCAGCCTCCTTAATTCCAGCTCCGGTGTCCTGCAACGAAATGAACTGCGTCCCTCACAGCCCACCACGTACCGCCTCGTCTACCTGGCTCTGTCCCATCAAGGGAGTCTCGTGGCAAGGCCATGTCCCATCAGCAGCCCCGCTGAGCTGCTCGTTAGCCCCCAGCCCAGTGATGAGAGAACCGCCTGAGCAAAGAAAAGTCCCCGCTGTGGAGACCCGGCACCGGGGAGCGGATTTACCGGAGGGAAGCGCTCTGCCTTTCTTGCTGGGTTGTACATTTCTGGCTGCCTCCTGGCAAATGTGTATAAAACTCCCCTTTCTTCTTCTGTCCTCATGTCCCTTCCTCGATGGCCGTATCCCTGGGGTGCTTCTGCATGCAGTACACCCTGCTGCTTCCATCCACTAGCTTTTGGGGTTGGGGAGGTGTGGAGCAAGTGGGACTTGTCCCTTGGCAGAGCTGGGAGGGAGCATCTTCTCGGCCGCTGGCCAGAGGGATTAACTGCCCCCGGGTGGAGCACCTGGGCAGCTTTGCTGGAGCTCTGACTGGAGCCGTGGCTTCCAGTTCCACTTGCCCTTGCTCTCCGTGACACCTGGGAACACCTCAGGCACACGTGGACTTTTTCTAAGGAGAACCAAGCTTGCTCTTCAGTGCCAGGCCCCCTGGCATGTGGCATGGAACAAGGTGTACTGTCCCCACCGCCCTTCCTCTTCTCTTTGTGGTATGTCCTACTTCCTTGGGATGTTGCCATTCTCAATAAATTGCAGAGAACATTCACAACGTCTTTGTGTCATTGCTTTGGGAGCCCCTTCTAGGCAAGGTGGTTTTGGTGTTTGGGGAAGCAACTTGGTGGGAAGGTGTGGGTTATTCTTCTGTTGAACGTGGCATGAGTGTGCTGTGAGGGAACTGAACAGGCATGCCAATGGATCTAGGACATGCCCAAGGGTGGGTGATGCCTCTTGATGCTTCCCAGTCACTGCAGTGCCTGACAGCACAAGCCCGTACCTGGAATGGTGGGGTTCTGGATGCTCCAGTCAAGCAATGTGCAGCAGTTCAGCTGCGGCAGAAGCACCATCCTAGAATTCATGGGTCAGCCATTGCACCAAGCAACGCAATTGAGCACCCTCTCATAACATTCCCTTCTGATCATCTCCCCGTGGAGCAGGCTTTGATATGTGCTAAGGGAAGATGATGGAAGTGGCACTGTGGGCGGCGGTGGGAGGGCAGGTTTACATCTGCCTGTAAACATGGATATGGACGTTGGCCAAGCACCTACCCTCTGGTGTGTGAGTAGGCTCTGGCCAGGTGGGCTGCACAGCTCGGCACCCTACGACCACCAGGGGTGCTTGAGAACCACTAACACGTCCTCCCCTTCGCTGACCAGCAGTGGGAACTCAAAGGGCTGGGCAGGCACGATTCATCCCAAAGCCGTGGGCAGGCACGATTCAGCCCAAAGCCGTGGGCTCAGGTACCCATTGGCTCCCTCAAAAAGTTAGACAAGGCCCCCCTTTATACTGGGAGCAAGTGGGAGAGATTTGGCATAGCTTGAGGAGGGGGTACGGGAGAAGAATGTTGGCCCGTTTGATCTGTGCTGCAGTTCCTCCTCCACAAGAAGAGATCAAAGAGACAGAAAGTGCTTTCAGCAGGGGTTCAGGAGTCCCACAACAACCTGTTCCACACTGCCAGTGTCCCCGTAGCAGGTCAGGAAGCTGCAGGCCTAGGAAGAGGTCCAGGCAAGGCGGTGGGGCATGGTTACAGGCCTCTTGGAGGAGGACCTTCTCCAGGCTTTGAAGCCAGCAGAGGTGTGCTAGAGCTGGGGAACGTGGCTGGGCTGGGCCCAAACAGAAGACGATGAGAAGGCAATGCCTCTGAGAAGCTGGGGCTGTGCCAAGGCACTTTGGAGTTTGGCTTGGGGCAAGAACCACCTGATTTTGCCCTTCGTTTTAAGACGATGCTGCTTCTCAGCTTTAACATCTGAAACCCGGCATTGTAGGCATTGTTGTGAGGAGTCATTGCGACATCCTCCTCTCCGCTCCCTCTTGGGTTTTGTGCCGGAATCTCTTTGCCATGTGAGATCCGAGGCTGCAGCCTGGCTTCGTCTCCATCTGTGTTTTCTGCAGAGTTTACATTTTCCCTACTGTTGATGATTTTGCTGCATACAACTCCTTGTGTAAGAGATCTGAGGGAATGGCTAGAGCCTAGGCTTGGTATTAATTCTTACCTGGAGGAGGCTGAAGTGACTCCAGGTTTGGTATAATCTTCACATCTTGTCTGAAGACGTCAGAGTGACTCAAGAGCGGCAGCTACCCTGTGTTTGGCAATCTGGAGGGAGGCCATGAAAAGAGACGACCTGTTTGCTCTAAGTACCAACTGAGCCGCCCTGCGCCTCCCTGGGACTGCTCACCATGAGTGAGCGCGTTGGACTGCAAAGCGAGCCGGAGCACTTAGCCCTCCGCTTTGGAGATAACCACTGAGAAATAAGACCTTCTTCATTCCAGCTGCTCTTGAAAGGGAAGGTGTGCCCCCCGTGCTGCAGCCTGTTGCATAGGGCAGGCTGCACATGTCTGGATAACCCTTGGCCAGCCATGACTTGTGTTCCTCAAGGGTAGGATAGCCCTTGGCCAGCCATGACTTGGGTCTCTCAAGGGTAGGATAGCCCTTGGCCAGCCATGACTTGGGTCCCTCAAGGGTAGGATAACCCTTGGCCAACCGTGCTTTGAGTCCCTCAAGGGTAACGTTCTCCACTCTCGTGTGCCCCGTTCTATAACGTGACTGTGGTGTCAGCAGCCTCCACCTCGGTGCCCGTCAAAGGCATTTATGTATCTGATTCCCCCAGTGGCTTTTCAAGTGAGTCTCTGGGCTGGTTTTTCCAAGGGTTTGAAGTGTCTGTGGCCGAAGGCTGATACCCAGTGATGCTTTCAAACAATGTTCGGTTGCATGAGTCTTATAGGAGATTCTGGAAAATTCCATATGAATGTGTAAGTTCATGCTTAGATCTTTTGAATAACCTTAAATTTATGTTCATTATAATTTTAAATCCTTTGCAGGGCCGTAATGTTTATTTTCTCTGCCACGTTTTGATCATTTATGCTGGCTATCATCTACAGAAAATGTGAAATGTCATTTTATATTCCACTTCTCAACTTAAATACATATTTGATTGATAACACCCAGGCAGATAATACCTTCAGAGTGCTTTGTAAATAGGATTTACAGACCCCAGTTTCCTTTTAACCTGCACCTGTAATCTCACTTCTTCAGAACCCTGCACCTTAATGTCATTGCATATTTCCTATCATAATCTGGAACCTTACAATTAATTACTTAAAATTTCATTTACAGGCAATCAAAAACCGGGCTCCTTTATTTCAGAGGCATCCTGCAGAATACATTACTAAACCATGTTCCTTTTCCAGCAGAATGTTTGAGGTAAGAGGGAATACCGTGCCTTGGAAGTTGCGACAGCTCCAGTTCTCAATATGTTTTTTCGCTTCAGTTGGCTCGTCTTTGGAAAGGACCAAGTAAATAAGAGGTCAGCAACATTCACCTGAGCAGTAGGAACCCCTCTCCGCCTGGAATTGTTCATCTGCTGTTCCACTTCTGCAGCGCTTGTCTGTCTGTCCCCAGCCATCGTCCACGAAGCAGCTGCCCAAAGTGTCCCTTTGCTCCTCCACATCGTTCCCCGTCGCCCTCAGAAGAGCACAGGGAAGGATCGTGATGGTTCAAGTTGTCTTGTTCGCTCTGCTCCAGCATCGTCCAAGGTCCCAGTGAACTGTCACGGATTTGGGAAGATACAGTTGGAGAGAATTTAATCCACAGGGCGAAGACACTCCCATTCCAAGTGACGCCACATTGCACTCCAAGCAGATGCAATTCCTTTCTAGCAGGAGAATATGCTGAGTCTCTTCAAACTTTGGTGTCATGAGGTTCTTGTTCAAGATTGGGAAACTTCTAAAATGCCAAAGGCAATTTTACACATAAAAAGCGGATTTAGGGTGTGTTAAGGCGTTGTGAAAGCTATATTATAGCTGGGATTTCATCAAAACTTCGCTTGCAGTGGAGCTTTGATTGGAAAGATCTCTATCTGGAATTATTGGGAACCATTAATGAAGGCTGGAAATCCAACAAGGGGCTGCACAGAAGTGATTTATTTGAAAAGCTGATTTCCAAGATGTCGTAAAGATACAAGAGTCCACTTAGTCATGGAGCCCCATGTCAATGTTCTTTTCTTTTATTCCCTTCTATATTGCAGGGTGTGTTTATAGGCAGGCCCAAATATGGTAAAGCTCAAGTGAGAATCTGTCAACAACACCATGCTGATGAAAATAATAAATTGGTTTCCACCTTCACGCCCAAGCCGTCCCAGCCCACCTCCAGAAGCGGATAAAAGGGAGTGCCTGGAGCTGTGGAGCCAGAGAAGACTGTGCGGACTTCTCTCTGCATTCATCCCTCAGCAGCACAGCTCCGTTGGCCTTTCTGCTTTTCTTGAATTTGACTCTGCTTGGAAGGAACAGCCATGTCTCGGCAGTCTGTCTGCAGAAGCTTTGGAGGCGGGAGTAGAAAGGGCTACAGCTCTTGCTCTGCCATCGGTGGTGGCTTTGGAGGAGGTGGCGGCAGAAGTAGGATCAGTTACAGTTCCTACTCCTCATCCAGGGGAGGTGGAGGAGGTGGACATTGTGGAGGGTATAGCAGCAGAAGCCTCCATAACATGGGTGGCAGCAGAAGAATTACCATGGGTGGATGCTATGGTGGTGGAGGATACGGCAGCAGAATGGGTGGCTTTGGTGGAAGTTACGGAGGAGGAATGGGTGGCTTTGGTGGAGGAATGAGTTGTGGAGGAATGGGTGGCTTTGGTGGAGGAATGGGTGGTTTTGGTGGAGGAATGGGGGGGGGGGGGGGAATGGGGGGGTGTGGCGGAATGGGCGGTGGAGGAATGGGCGGTGGAGGAATGGGTGGCTTTGGTGTCCCGGGCTTCCCTGGAGGCATCCAACCAGTGCAAATTGACCAGAGCCTCCTGCAGCCGGTCCATGTTGAGATTGACCCCCAAATCCAGCAAGTGAAAAACCAGGAAAAGGAACAGATTAAGACTCTTAACAATCAGTTTGCCTCCTTCATTGATAAGGTGAGAACTTAGGACTGTGGTTGGTTGGACGTGGGTGTTTTCAATGACTTTCCTGTGGTGTGGAAAGGGATTGTTCTGTTACCAACAGATACTTGTTAAAGTTTGCAAGGCTGATGCTGTAGTAATTATTAAGTAATTACTAAGGCCTTATTAAGCAATACTGAACAATAGGCAAGGTTTTCATGCGAATGGAAGATTAAAGAGAACATCTGCAGGACTTTCTGGAGATGCTCATGCCTAGTCATCTCTGCAGCCTCATTTCTGGTGATTCAGGGTAAAGTCATCATCGCATATTTAGTTGTCCTAGGAGTTCTCACTATGGCTTTAATTTTTGATGGGACTTTATTTGCAAGGAACTGATTCTATAAACTTAAGAACGTTAAATACCTTCCCAACACTCTTGGACTATTTTCATTTCAGATAGAAACCAAGGAAATACTGAACCCCTTCTAAAAGAACTTATGTGCAGCTAGGTGAAAAACATAACGGTTTTCTGGACTTCATTACTGAAAAGATTGTAGCAATGTCCAAAACTGGTGCTATGGAAAATGGGGATGATGTTTTCAATTGGCAACAACTCTTTTTCTCCAATTGAGAAGTTCAGAATGACTCAGAATTTAATAACGCTTGTCAGGCACTTCAGGAGCTGTTTCAACGAGTGGTAGTTGGAGGTTTGGGAAATGAATGCCTTGGCCTACCAAGTAAGCAGGAGGCTTGAGCAGTGTGATGTCTCCCGGGGTGCCTCACACACCCCTTTGTGGGCTTTCAGGTCCGCTTCCTGGAGCAACAGAACAAGGTCCTCTCCACCAAGTGGGAGCTCCTCCAACAGCAAGGGCCTTCGGGGCCAAGGAAGAACCTCGATGTCATCTTTGAAAATTACATCCAGAACCTGAGGAGGAGGCTAGAGTCTCTCCTGGGACAGAGGGGGCAGCTGGAGTCAGAGCTGCAGACCATGCGGCAATACGTGGAGGAGTACAAAACCAAGTAAGTGCCGTGACAGAGGCAGAAGCGAGCACCAGGACAGGGGCGCAAAGCCAGGTTGGAGGCTTCCACACTGCCTTCCCTCTGCAGAAATGGGGCCAAGGTTGCCATGGAGGGCAAGGGGGTTCCCCTGGTTGACTGCTGAGCAGTCCAAGAGACTCATCTTGTCTTGTCCCCTTCAACAGGTATGAAGATGAGGAGGGGCGGCACCAGCATGGCCAGCTTCCAACAGGTGGCCTTGGATGCCACCAGCTCTTCTGGGATGGGAGGAAGCTGTTGTCTACCCATGTGGTCTTTCTTGTAGGACGTGGACTGTGCCTACATGACTAAAGTAGAGCTGGAAGCCAAGGTGGGAGCTCTGACTGACGAGATCAACTTCCTGAGGTGCATCTTTGAGGAGGTAAGAGCTGCTCTCCCTTCCCTGGGCTGGTTGGAGTTGCAACGGGGAAAGTGGTGGCTAAAGACATTGGGTTTGGACTGTGTGCCCATGTGGATTTAAGCTTGAGAGTCACTTGGGCTGCCTGTCTTGCTTGCAGGAGCTGGCTCAGATGCAGACAATCAGCCGGGACCTGTCTGTGGTGGTGTCCATGGACAACAACCGGCACCTGGATCTGGACAGCATCATTGAGGAGGTCAGGCGTCAGTACGAGCAGATTGCTCAGCGGGGGGGTTGGGAGGCACTCAGGGCACCTGGTACAGTCTCTGCTGCTGGCCGCCTCCCTTGCCACAGAGCAAGGGAATGGCCAAAGTTCTTGCTGGGTTGTGTCACTGATGGGTTCCTCTGTCTCCATGCCATCAGTATGAAGAGCTGCAGAACACTGCTGGAAGGCACGGCGACAGCCTCCGCAACACCAAGATAGAGATCCAGGAGTTGACCAGGAACATCCAGAGGCTGCGGGCTGAGATTGAGAACGTGAAGAAGCAGGTAGGGGTTCTTCAGCATCTTGTTGCGTGATGGCTTGAGGCTGGGTCATAGCCAAGCCGGGTACTGTGCTCAGGATAGCGTGAGGGTCATGTAGTCATTGAAACTGAGGTCCTTTGGAGGAGGTTGATGGTTCCTGCCTATCTTCCATCCACTCTGTGTCTGGAGGACAGCTCCAGTGGAGGATGTGCAGAAGGGAACTGAAAAACGGCTTTTTATTTTTCTAAGAACCATCAGCTGCAGGCAGCAATTGCTGAGGCCGAGGAGCGGGGTGAGATGGCCCTCAAGGATGCCAGGCGGAAACTGGAGGAGCTGGAATGTGCCCTGAGCAAAGACAAGGAGGAGCTGGCTCGCTTGCTGAAGGAGTACCAGGAGCTGCTGAACATCAAGATTGCCCTGGATGTTGAGATTGCCATGTACAGGAAGCTGCTGGAGGGAGAGGAGAACAGGTACCTTACTTTCTTTGTTCCTATTTGACTAATTTGATGGGAGTTTATACTGTGGCTGGGTTAAAGCTTCACATAAATTCTGAAGATAAATCTCACTCATGCTGTAATTCTCAGCCTTCCATGTGTTTTCAGTATTGCTTAAGACTGTTAGGTTCGAGGTTGCTTGTTTGTTTTAAAGAATAATTGGGAAATTCAGGAAGAATAGAGAATATATTCCTGGTAAAAAAGGGGAAATTCTCAGCCGCAGACACATGCAATTCCGGTAGGATTAACGGGTCCTGTTTTCCCTCACAGGCTGTGCAACGAAGGCATGTCCAACGTCAACGTCTGTAAGTATTGGCACTTGTTTCCTCATGCGTTCTAGGAGATGCAGGTTGCGAGTGGATAACGCATGCATAACCCGTGCTTCTCTTCCAGCTGTGGTAGGCAGGACCACCATCAGTGGAGGCAGAGGAGGCATGGGCGGAGGCTTTGGAGGCGGCAGCGGCATGGGCGGAGGCTTCGGAGGAGGCAGCGGCATGGGCGGAGGAATGGGAGGAGGCGTGTGTGGAGTAGGAGGCGGCTTTGGAGGTGGAAGCATGGGCGGCAGCTGCGGAATGGGAGGAGGAATGTACGGCGGTGGCTTCTCTTCTGGAAGCGGAAGGATCTGCGGCTCTGGAGGTGGCAACTTCAGCTCCGGTGGGGGATCGTCCTCCGTACGGAGATGTGTCACGACCACCTCCGTCAAATCGTCAGGAGTGAGATTCTGAGCCCCAAAGCCAGGTTGAAAAAGGAAAGAAGCATCCCCCACCTTCTCCCGGCAGCAGCCCAGCCTCCTTAATTCCAGCTCCGGTGTCCTGCAACGAAATGAACTGCGTCCCTCACAGCCCACCACGTACCGCCTCGTCTACCTGGCTCTGTCCCATCAAGGGAGTCTCGTGGCAAGGCCATGTCCCATCAGCAGCCCCGCTGAGCTGCTCGTTAGCCCCCAGCCCAGTGATGAGAGAACCGCCTGAGCAAAGAAAAGTCCCCGCTGTGGAGACCCGGCACCGGGGAGCGGATTTACCGGAGGGAAGCGCTCTGCCTTTCTTGCTGGGTTGTACATTTCTGGCTGCCTCCTGGCAAATGTGTATAAAACTCCCCTTTCTTCTTCTGTCCTCATGTCCCTTCCTCGATGGCCGTATCCCTGGGGTGCTTCTGCATGCAGTACACCCTGCTGCTTCCATCCACTAGCTTTTGGGGTTGGGGAGGTGTGGAGCAAGTGGGACTTGTCCCTTGGCAGAGCTGGGAGGGAGCATCTTCTCGGCCGCTGGCCAGAGGGATTAACTGCCCCCGGGTGGAGCACCTGGGCAGCTTTGCTGGAGCTCTGACTGGAGCCGTGGCTTCCAGTTCCACTTGCCCTTGCTCTCCGTGACACCTGGGAACACCTCAGGCACACGTGGACTTTTTCTAAGGAGAACCAAGCTTGCTCTTCAGTGCCAGGCCCCCTGGCATGTGGCATGGAACAAGGTGTACTGTCCCCACCGCCCTTCCTCTTCTCTTTGTGGTATGTCCTACTTCCTTGGGATGTTGCCATTCTCAATAAATTGCAGAGAACATTCACAACGTCTTTGTGTCATTGCTTTGGGAGCCCCTTCTAGGCAAGGTGGTTTTGGTGTTTGGGGAAGCAACTTGGTGGGAAGGTGTGGGTTATTCTTCTGTTGAACGTGGCATGAGTGTGCTGTGAGGGAACTGAACAGGCATGCCAATGGAGCTAGGACATGTCCAAGGGTGGGTGATGCCTCTTGATGCTTCCCAGTCACTGCAGTGCCTGACAGCACAAGCCCGTACCTGGAATGGTGGGGTTCTGGATGCTCCAGTCAAGCAATGTGCAGCAGTTCAGCTGTGAGCAGGGAGGGGCACTGGGAACCCAAACTGGAGGAATTAATGAGGCTGTTAAATTTTTGGGCAGGTCCTGATGTAGCCCCATGCTTGTAATGATGTATTGTCAGTTCAACAGCAGATGTCTTCCCTTGTTGTGTACTGAAACCTCCAGCACAGAGGGGTCCAGCACCTTTTGTATTAATGAGGAGGCTACAGGCTACGCTGTGCTAATATTTAGGGCTCAGCCTTTATGGAAACGGAGGCCCTCAGATCCCTGTTGCTCATGTCACCAGAGTGGTCTGCTAACGTGCAAACTGCAGCTGCTCTAGGAAAGAGGGTTTATTAACCTCCCTTTTGGATTTCAGACCTTCAGAGCAGGATGAAGCTCTGTATGGGGTAGGCTGAAATCACAAACAGAAAGTTATGGGATTTGTGCAGGAATCCTGCCCGTGCGTAGTGGTGAAACCAGTAGAGACCCAAGCGTGTTGACTGATGATGGAAATCGGCAGCGGCAGGGAGGGAGCAGGCGCCAGATCAGGCTGCTGTTGTCAGTTCATCTGAGTTTCCTGCCTTGGAGTGGACTTTGCTATGTGGTAGGGGAATGTGGCAATGGAGGAGTCTTGTGGGCAGCGTTGGGAGGGCAGGTTTACATCTGCCTGTAAACATGGATATGGACGTTGGCCAAGCACCTACCCTCTGGTGTGTGAGTAGGCTCTGGCCAGGTGGGCTGCACAGCTCGGCACCTACGACCACCCAGGGGTGCTTGAGAACCACTAAAACGCGCTCCCCTTGGATGACCAGCAGT